AAGGGAGGTAACCGGAAATGACAGGAAGTGATTCATGCTTTTGTATTGGAACTTACGGGGTAGCTCTTTTATTGATTATACAACGGAGCGAGTTCGGAGTTATCTTTAGTCAGATGATTCTCTTGAGATCTCAATCCTTATTTTTAACAAAGGCTGACGGGAATAAATTACCGAACACGTTTGTCATTAGCTGTAGTTTACTTCCAACTATAAATACGTCCCTATTATTTCCTAAAGACTACTATTCCGGAGCGTTGTTTTATACTAAACTAACGTTAAGGTTAAAGGTCAGATTATATAGGAAGGAGGGGTGGGGGCTGTTAGCCTACATAACCATACAAGAAGTATAGGAACAGCTTTATCTAGATTATCAAAAACACTTGAAACTAGCGGCAAGTAACTCACAGTGTAACATTGTATTGGGATATGGCGTCAGATGTGTTGATGTCCCTTTTAAAAAAAATACATTATTAAATTATTCCCTCAAAAACAATGTCGTGACATATTTTTGGTGATAACAAAACACAGAGTTAGGTTAGGTTAGCCTGTCTCCACAGTCGCGACATAGGCCGTTGACAATAGCTTGCCGGGATTTCTCTTCTCGGCTAGTCCTCTCCAACTGTCCCCAGGTGTATCCAGGCTAGTCTCTCCAACTGTCCCCAGGTGTATCCAGGCTAGTCTCTCCAACTGTCCCCAGGTGTATCCAGGCTAGTCTCTCCAACTGTCCCCAGGTGTATCCAGGCTAGTCTCTCCAACTGTCCCCATGTGTATCCAGGCTAGTCTCTCCAACTGAACCCAGGTGTATCCAGGCTAGTCTCTCCAACTGTCCCCAGGTGTATCCAGGCTAGTCTCTCCAACTGTCCCCAGGTGTATCCAGGCTAGTCTCTCCCACTGTCCCCATGTGTATCCAATCTTCTTGGTGTCATCTTCCATGTCACTTTTCCAAGTCTTACTTTGTCAGTCTCTTTTCCTTTCATTCTAGTTAAGAGAGTTTACTTACATTAAGTTATTTTTAAATCTGAAAATAGTACATAATAAACCATAGTATCAATACAAAAGGTGTCATTATTTTATATCTATTAAGTTCAATGGTTGAATAAATGGAGATGTGAAATAAAATAATCTCCAAAGAAAGCTACTACTATTGGCTATCTAAGTGCTCTGTTTAATACAATCCACTTCTTTGTATTATACCCTAGGTGTTTAAGCTGACAGTTTTATATTTCGAATGAAGTTGTAAATAACTATAAATTTTAGATACTTTTAAATACCAGTAGAATTCGTAAATAAATGTAATATTTATATATATAATTTAATAACTCATAATGAATACTATGTATTAAATTGGTTAATATTGAATTTTATTTAGCTTTTGGTAATATGGATACGGGTTTTTTCCCTTGATTTTATTAAAATAACGATTGGGAAGTAGCTAACAGAGTAATATTGATTGCTAAATAATTTCACCTTTCAATTATTCAATATTATTATCAGTAGCGTACGCAGGGGGGAGCAGGGGGAGCGGCCGCTCCCCCTCTGGCCATTTTCAGAAAAGTGGCGCCTTTTTGGAAACTTTTTAAACTCAAAGTTTTAAACAATGATAATTGTTAAAAAAATATTTTTGGTCGGCACATCTATGTAAATCACAAGATTTCTTTTCATGCAGCAATTAAGCATTATTGTACTAGTCTAGTAGTATCTACGTTTACAACACGTATTAACAGCTGCATCATCTTGCCATTCTAAAAATAACCATTACGATGCATTGCAATGTTTAAAAAACCTCTACGGTAGTACCACTTGGCAAGAGGGGTGTTAAGTTTAAGGCAACTGTATAATGTATTTGCTTACGAATAATTGAATTAGAAAATGTTATACATAAAATTTCACACATAATTACTTTATATATACAGTTTGAATCGTGTGATTAATTTAAAAAAAATTACAATACAGAAACAAATACAACTGATGTGGCACCTCTATTTAAATTTACTTTTGAGCAAACTGCGTAGTGGTGGGGAAATTTTGACAAGGTCAACAAAGTCATCACGATGAAGTAGTAGTATTCTTACAGTTTGGGCGATAGTGATTACGATTACAAATTATATGAAACAATTACAACCCTCCCCCCTCTCCCATGGACCCTTCTGTAAAAAAATATTGTCATAATACCACTGCTACTTATTTAAATCTATTTCTGTAATATTTATTGTGTAATATATATTTGTGTAATATATATGTATGTTTAGAACAGTCATCTAAAAACTGACGCTATGTTCACTCTGAGTTGGTGCAGAGCGACAATAATGTCACACCTAGGTATACGCTGGGTTGGATAGTTGACCTAAAGTGAACGGACAGTGGTGAATGAAGTTGAACCCACCCCCCCCCCCCCCAACCTACCCCGAACTGATCTGTTAAGTACATGTAGAAAAACGCGTAATGATGTACCAACGTACCATGCCGCCAGAAAATTAGCTTTTTAAACGTAAAACTCTGTGAATATTGTTTTTGCAATTACCAGTAAAAAGGTGTGTGATCAATACAGTGATCTAATTATACCTATCACTATGTTAAAAAATGATCTTTAAAGTACACAAAGAAGCAGTAGTTAATTAAAAATGTATGATCTGAACTAAAAGACCAATTTTTAGTTAAATGTAGGATGTTATTCCGAATGTTTTTCTATTATAATGAAAAGCGTGGTTTTATACCAACTCTGAATTTAAAAAAACTTTTATTATGCTGTAATACTTTAGTATTTATGATGACGATATATTAAATTTTGATTATAGACAAAAAAATTTTGTAAACGCGAATAGTGTTAAGCAATTTCATTATATTCTAAAGTAATTATTTATTTGTTGTGACATTTATAATTAAATGTGTAGATATATACATATTTATAGTAAGAGAGTGATTATTTCCCCTATTTCACTTGTCTTAATAATTTCCTAGGAATTATTATGTAAGAAATTTTTTTTTACAAGAATTACAAAACAGATTGTGGTACGTTCATTGTTTTTGGTTGTAGTGTGTGAATAGATTTATATATTATTTTTTGTTTATTTTGATACAATTTTTGTTTTGTCGGCCTACATTGTGTGTTTTTTCTTATTTCTTCAGAGTGCTACTTTCGATTTATTTTACATCATAGCGAAGTAATGACATACAGCTAGTAATAATATATATATATATATATATATATATATATATATATATATATATATATATATATATATATATATATATATATATATATATATATATATATATATATATATATATATATATATATATATATATATATATATATATATATATATATATATATATATATATATATATATATATAACGTGTAAAAATTCGGCGCCTTTTTTTGTTCGTTTCGCTCCCCCTACAACGAAAACCTGGATACGCCTCTGATTATTATTGTCATTAATATATTTAAATTATATATATATATATATATATATATATATATATATATATATATATACATAATGTGTGTGTGGTGTACAAGTTTTATCTCATTTTTCAGTGCCTTTATAAGCTTGTTAATGCTATTGTAAATATTTCCTATACTCAATTTGTTTAATTTTCTAGAGGTCAGTCAGTTCAGATGAAATCAGACCTGACTACGCCTACAACACACATATGGCTCCATGATGTCTCTGATTTTTTGTAGTTCTGTCGATGGATATTTCGATTTCTAACAAGATGTAAACATAGAATATTTATATTCGATATCCCACATTTTTTTTTACCAAACCATCTGACGTTGATTAATTATCTCGCATAGCAAGTTAATGTTTTTTAATTGAAAATAATGGAATGCCCGAGGGACTCCCATAATGCCATTCTTCATTCCGACTTCTATTTTTAGCCCCTTGACCTTTGTCTCATTATCACCGGAAGCTAAAGGTGGCCAAGCAGGTGTTAGTCGCCAGTATTAGGCCTTGAGTTGGCCACAAACAATACGAGGCTATCTTGTGTTGAGCTAAATACAGTTAGGTTAAACTCAGTTCATGTGCTTGTTTGAGTTAAATCATTGAGCTAAGCATAGAGCTAAAGTGCGTAGGCCAACTTAGCTCAAACACGATTAGCTTAAGCTCATAGCTTAGAGCAGGGGTCTCCAAACTACGGCCCGAGGGCCGGATGCGGCCCGCGATGTCCTCTCATCCGGCCCGCGGAGATCTTTTTGTGCACGGAAAAAAACGTTTGCTGGTGATGGCTGAAGAACTTTGCCCAGAAAAATCAAAGACATGCCTGGAAGAAACTGGCCCCCGAACTGAAATTTAATAGTTAATGCGGCCCTCGGACTGAAAAGTTTGGAGACCCCTGGCTTAGAGGACTGCTATTTAATTAAAACGTTGGTTGATGATACGGCTGGTAAGTAGGTCACCAACCAGTTGTATGGCTCATGCAGGTTTTATTAAGCCGTAGAACTGGATGGTGACCTACTTACCAGCCCTATAGGTTAAGCATAGAGCGCAGATATGTATTTATCCAAAACACATTTAGTTTAAGCTCCGAGCTCAGTTTAGATATCCACAACACTAACTTAGATACTCAAATATTTTTGTTTAAATGTATCCATTTGTGACTGAGGGTGTCGTCCCAGAATGTCTTGATGTACCCTGGGTGGGGGGGGGGGGGGGGTGAGATGGTTGGGTAGTGTCCAAATATTAGTGACAACGAATTAGTTTCGATTTTTATTTAATTTTTTTTTTTTTTTTTTGCTGTTTTTTCTTCTGTTGCAATCCTCTGGCTGGTATTTTATTATTTTATATTGTAGGCACGTGTAAGCATACATTGACGAAGTTAACCAATGAATACGTCGTATGCTTCAGAATAAAATATCAATATTTTTACATTTTTTTTTAATTTGTTTAAAATGTATATACAATCTTGTTGAATTTTCATGAAAACTTTCTAAAATACTTTACAGCTTTTTAATCTATTACTTTTTTTTTCACAGGCATATGTCAACTGTGCTATGGGCATGCACAAAATCGGACCAATCCTCATCTGTTTTGGAACAGTGAGCGCTGTAAGCTCCATCACGATTGGCTGCTTCTCCAAGCACATCAAACGCTTCGCATTCATAGCTGCAGGCGCCACCTTCAACGTCGGTCTTCTCATCGTGCTGTGGCTGTGGCGACCTCAGGAGAAGGATGTGCCAAACTTCTACGTCGTCGCTGCTTGCCTTGGTCTCTGTGATGCCATTTGGCAGACGCAGACCTACAGTAAGACTTGGTGCTTTCCACCTCTGACTTTCGAAATTTTTTTTTTTTATTTTTTTTTTTTTTTTTTTTTTTTTTTTTTTTTTCTTTACTTATGAAAACCATAGCTGGATATTCAAGGCGATTGAATCAGCATCGCCATTTTAAATCTACTACAGACCCTAAACATATACTGTTATTCTCCTTCGTTCTTAATATTGAAGGGGATCTACTCCAACATGTATCACTTGTCAACATCTAATGCGCTATATGGCCCTTTGACTGCTTTCCTTTTTGGATTTGCTTCATAGCCTTAGTCCACCCAAAGCAGCAGTTGAGAGTTTTCTAGATGGTTCGCTGTCCCTCACTGGCCTCGTCTGTCCGGGTGCCTTTCGCAGTTGCCAATACATCGCTCTCCTGCCCGACCACGACGTCCCACTATATCCCCTATACTGACACTCATTATTACTTACATCAGCCCTGATTATTATCCTAACACGCCGACCGTATCCCCTATAACACCGATCCTCATCCTGACCCTAACCCCGACCCTAACGCCGATCACAATGCCGACCCTAACCTTAATCCCGTCCCTAACCCCGAGCCTAATCTCAAGTCTAGCTTCGACCCTAATCTCAAACCTAGCCCCGACCCTAATCCCGACCCTAAACCCGAAAACCCCAACCCTAACCCCCAAAAATCCCAACCCTAATCCCAAAAAAACCCGACCCTAATCCCGACCCTAAACCCGACAACCTCGACCCTAATCCCGACCCTAAACCCGACAACCTCGACCCTAATCCTGACCCTAAATCCGTCAAACCCGACCCTAATCCTAACCCCCAACCCTAACCCCGACCTTAATCCCGACCTTAAACCCAACAACCTCGACCCTAATCCCGACCCTAAACCCGACAACCCCAACCCTAACCCCCAAAAACCCCAACCCTAATCCCAAAAAAACCCGACCCTAATCCCGACCCTAAACCCGACAACCTCGACCCTAATCCCGACCCTAAACCCGACAACCTCGACCCTAATCCCGACCCTAAACCCGACAACCTCGACCCTAATCCTGACCCTAAATCCGACAACCTCGACCCTAATCCTGACCCTAAATCCGACAACCTCGACCCTAATCCTGACCCTAAATCCGACAACCCCGACCTTAATCCCGACCCCAACGCCGATCCTAACCTCAACACTAAACTAGAACTGAACTTTGACTTTAACACCTACCCAAACGCTGACCCTATATCCTCCAACCGCTGAAACCGACTCCTAACACTGATACCGATAGAAGAAAAGGCCTTTCTACCATACATACTGTAGTGCTCTGGTGGTATTTTTATAACAAAACGTGTTTGTGATATTGATCGTTTAAAACGTAATTAGTAATTAATCAAATCTTAAGTAAAGATCGATATTTTTTTCCAGGCCATGTTTTCTTTAATCAATGCTTGAACATTTTTACTAGAAGTAAAAAATTAAGAATCGCATGCAAACACGAAAGAAAACATCCTAAAAATGTCCTCGGCTTAATGTTATAATCTTTGAGGAAGAGAGAAGTTGGCGGGGGGGGGGATGTCGTTGAGCAAAATTATTAATCATGTATTTACATTTAATTATGTGAAAAAAATTAAGAAGAAAATTGTAAGATTATTTTATCCTCATAAAAATGCAATTTACATAAAATTAAAAATATAATCATTTTTTCTCTTCAGCATTGTTTGGCGTTCTCTTCAGCCATAAACCGGAAGCAGCCTTCGCTTCCTACCGGATGTTCCACGCTGGAGGCTGCGCCATGGCGTTCGGGTACAGCTACTTCCTGTGCGTGCAGACCAAGGTTTTCATCCTGGCGGGAAGCCTGGCGCTGTCGCTGGGCATGTACAGCATCATCGAGATGAAGATGCAGCTACAAAGTCAGCACATTGGGGATATTGTGGCGCTTTGATGAGACGCTTGGGGCGCTTTGATGAGACTCTTGGGCGCTTTGATAAGAGGCTTGGGGCGCTTTGATGGGAGGCTTGGGCGCTTTGAGAGGATTGGGGCGCTTTGATGAGACGCTTGGGGCGCTTTGAGAGCATTGGGGCGCTTTGATGAGACGCTTGGGGCGCTTTGAGAGGATTGGAGCGCTTTGATGAGACGCTTGGGGCGCTTTGATGAGACGCTTGGGGCAACTTTATGGAGCTTTCATTAGAGGCTTGGTGGTGACTTTGTAGCGCTGTGTTTAAAGGCTTGGTGCGACTTTTGAGATATTGGCGACATGTGGTGCTCGATGGCGACTTTGTGGCTCTTCGATGAGAAACTCGGTGGCGACTTTGTGGCTCTTCGATGAGAAACTCATTGGCGACTTTGTGGCGCTTTGATTAAAGGCTTGGTGGCGACTTTTGGCGCTCTTCAGCGAGAATCTTTTAGACATTGACGACATTTGGATTTTGGTGGCGACTTTAGACTGGCACTGTTATGGCGAATTAACGAAGAGCACGATGGCGACTATCGGGCATTAAAGGTGATATGGATGGGTGCTTGATGGTGATAATTGAAAGATTATCTTATATGTGGCTCTATGGCACAGTAGGTATCAACCACGTAGTGCTATAGTTTACTTGGATCAGTAGCGTAATGTGACACCAAGGCAGTAACATGCTACACTTCGGCGTCAGGATTGTGTTTTCTATATACGATACTGATATATATATATATATATATATATATATATATATATATATATATATATATATATATATATATATATAATCTTCGTAAGACCCCCACTTCCCTTGAAAGGTACAAACGACCCTATACATCGGCAATAGTGACAAAAACAGTATTTTGTTGAGGAGCTTAGATGTTGATATGTTGAACTTAGGGGAATGCTAGCAATGACACATTGAGTTATTACAAGTCAATGCGAGAGCGTCTTGCAGCATGTGATCAGAATAATCGTTTTTTTATGAGACTTACCTGAACAATATATAACAATTTATTTCTATCACCAGATAATATTTCTGGTCAACGTCTTTTATTCAATAGTGAAGATGTCATTGTATGCGCTTAATGTATTTTTAAAATTATGTAAATTCTGATGTGCTATTTGTAGGAAGTGGGAGGCGTAGATTTTGCATTAGTTTCCAATTTTTGACGGCTTTTAAAGTGAGGAGTTTTCCGCAACTTTGTGCATAAAATGGCTTAATATGAATCTATAGCGTGACGTCATTTATGATGATATCATACTTGGCACTACATCATTTGAGACGCTAGAGCGAAAAACCTGTCGCGTGCTATGCAAATTGCGATCTCAGGGGACGCAATTCTGGAATTGTTGTGTTGACGCGTCTGTATGTGTGTACCTCGTAACCGAGGCGCTGACGTCTACATTTGTTTTAGAGTAACCAATTCATCCCGGCATTTGGGGACGGCATGGCCTAGAGGTAGAACGCTCGCTTGTTAACCTGTAGCATTACGAGGTCGACACCGCGGTAACTTTGGGAATGTAACGTTAATCCAAAAAAAAAGTGTAAATAAATTTTGAATACAACGGAATTATTAGAAATGAAATGTATTATATAACACTGCTGTTGACCACCACCCCGTATGACACAATATAACAAAATAAGCCACTACCCTACCCCCGATCATGTTATACCAGTGCTCGCTCCCCTAGCCTCAAACCCATCAATTTCACCGGTACCATCCACATTTATCCATATAGGCCTTGCTACACGCAACAAGATATTAATGAAAGATATCAGACACAACATATAATTTCTATTCTTTTACTTAAATTTATCTACTTCAATGTCGACGGTTGTAATGGAACCCCGTAACTAATGACAACCGCATGTTGTTGTTGTTTTTTTGTTTATCTTTTTGCAGGGGACACCACTGTGTTAATCATAGGTGTCAGGATAATCAGTTATGTTGGTTAAAAACTACCTGACTCACGTGATACGGCTCCATAATATTTCATAAGACCAAATTACTATGGAATTGGCGTTGGTTTATTTTCTTTTAAATTTAAATTCCAGCCCCAGCACGCAGTTTATTAATACCAGGGTGGGTGAGCCATATGACCTGTAGTGTGGTCGTCCATTTTTGTAAACCTTTTAGGTTTCTTGTGTCTGTGTGCATGCATCTATATACATATGTATATACACACAAATAATATATATATATATATATATATATATATATATATATATATATATATATATATATATATATATATATATATATATAAACAAAAGCCGTTAATGGGGTGTAGTATTAAACAGCACAGACCTTGATAATCCTGATCAGCGCTGCAATATATTTGTTTTGTCTTCACAGAAAACCAGATAATAGATTAGCTTTTTTAAAACGCTTTCTCAGAAACGTTCTAGTGTAGGCTACCTAATAAGACAAATGTATTCATACATAATAAAGCTAGAGTGTATTATTGATGTTATACCTTATGAGTCGAATGTATTCGCACGTAACAATGTATTCATATTTGACAACCTTTTGTGTCAAATGTATTTATATTTGACAACCTTATGTGTCAAATGTATTGATATGTAACAAGCTTGTTTATTTTATGACTTCTTGCACGATATGAGCTAAATATATTCTTACGTAAATAACTAAGCACTAAGAATACATGCATTAGTACACAAAGCAAACAAACGTATGAGCTTAAGTGGGCACTAGAACTACATACCATAGTGCATATTTATCTCCTGAGTAATTCCACTGATGTTGAGAATGTGAGATTCATTCATTATTTGCGCCAATACTTCGAAGATGTAAATTCATTAACTTAATTAATTATTTTTGAAAGAGTTCGCTGTCTGTAGATAGATGACAGTAATTCAGTTCATGTGTTGTTTAAGATTAACCAATGTGATACGGTTTAATGTGAATGATTCAAAAGTGATAATATTTTAGCTATCCGACGGTTTTTAGCTGTTTGTTTTTATTTTTTTATTTTTTTTTATTTTTGTTCTTGTATTGTAGTATTTCCGTCCAGGTCAAAGTTCAAAGGTAAATGCTTGAACGAAAACAAAACAATAACAGTGGGTCTTTTCATTTTAAGAAAGAAATGACTCTCAAATCCTAGGTGTAAATTAGAAACAATTTTAATTATTAAAATAACTTTTTAAATAAGATTGTTTTTTATTTATTGATGCTAGTTCTGATTGTTGTTAACAGTTAAAGAAGTATTTGAGTGGTAGAAATCTATTTACATTTCCACAGCTCATTTTTCAAAAAACAATTTCACTAAAAGCATGAACGTTAAAAATAAGTAGTTGTTGTGTATAGATCTTAGATCTAGTTTTTTTTGTTTTTGTTGGGTTTTTTTTTGTAAATTACATAATGTAAATAGTATATATATAAATTCATTTATATAAATTGAGTGTGTGGTTTTTTTATTGTTCATTCTGGTCTCGATTTGCTGGTACATTTCTAGCCAGGAACGACAATTTCAAATCAGGAACGACAATTTCAAATCAGGAACGATAATTTCAAATCAGGAACGACAACTGTCATCAGGAATGACAACTATCATCAGAAACGACCATTGTAATTAGGAATTATAGCCAGGAGCGGTAACTTTAATAAACTGTATGTTCACCAGTTGGAGCTAAGCCTGGTTATATCTTCACGTACATTATTTCATTATGGTTTAGCTGAATTTTAATTAGGAAAAAAATAACAATTGCGTGGCGTTGAAAGACTGGTTTGAATCGTGAGAAACGAGTGCAGTTGCTATGGCAACGTGATGAACATTGTTGACGTGTATTTGAGGGGAATACGAGATTTTATTTAAAATAATTATCTGCTATCGTATTTCTTAATCAATTCCTTATATGCACGTTTTTAATTACATTATTATCAGTAACAAAAAAAATGTAACAATAAAATATTTCTCCAATTACTCTGCTGGTTGATCATTGTTTTTCTTTTGTTTCGTATCGAGAGAGGTAGAGTTTTATTTTTTTTAACACAGGAAAAGACTGAGGTTTTTTTTTTTAATCTATTGAACTGTTGGGTATAAATGATTATAAATTGGAAGAATCCTTGGTGAGGGGAAACTATTCTATCGGAATTCTGTTTTCAGTAAGTCAAGCACTAGAAAATATGCCAAGAATACCCCCTACATACGTATTCACATATATATACATGGTATACATATTTACACGCATACCTCTATGCATACTCTCTCTCTACCCCCATCCATATAAACTACGATAAGAAGAGTGCTAGTATTAAAATATCACAACACTTAACGAAGTTCCGATCTTTTACCCTATCCCTGAATTAATCCTAACTTTTCCCTTCGCCCTAACCCAGGCTGTAACGTATTCTTAGCTCTGACCCTAACATCAACAATCGATACAATATTTTTTAAACGATACCATATTGTAAAAAAACGATACGATATTTTTTTTAAAACGATACGATATTGTAAAAAATCGATAGGATATTTTTTAAACGAGATGATATTGTAAAAAAACTATACGATATTTTTTTTTTAAAAACGATACGATATTGTAAAAAAATCGATAGGATATTTTTTAAACTATACGATATTGTAAGAAATCGATAGGATTTTTTTTAAACGATACGATATTGTAAAAAAATCGATAGGACATTTTTTTTAAAAACGAAACGATATTGTAAAAAATCGACACAATATAGGATTTTGCCATTCAAGGTTTTTATTGAAGTGAGCAATTGGACTTGGGTCATTAAAAAATTACCTGGAGAGATTGGTTTTTTTTAGCCTTTTCTTCTTGTAGGCAGAAGTTATAACAGTTCGAAACTTATAAGGGGGGGGGGAGAGAATTAGACAGCTGACAACCTCGCTGAGGGTGGGGGGTGGGGAGATTAGACATCTCGCAACTTGGAAATGGAGGGGGAGGGCGTTAATAACTAGTGTTAAATTTAAATTTACTTGAAATGTGAAATGAGATGTGATTGTGTTTTTTTTTTCTTAAAGTGTTGGAGTTGAGTAGAGGGAGACGCGAGAATCCAAGAATAGCCGTGACAACAATAATGTGTATTTCCGTCAACCAATGCATGCATTCGGTTTCCATGAGAAATTAGTGTACGAGAAAGTGCATCCAATTATTTGAGAGTTAATTTGATTATTTGAACTTGGTGCTGTGTGCAATTAACAGCAATTTGGTTCACTTTATTATGTCATGGAAACTCTCAACAAGCAATTAGCTATTAATCTTCACTGTGTGTGTGTGCGTGCGCGCGCGCGTGTGTGTGTGTGTGTGTGTGTGTGTGTGTGTGTGTGAGAGTGACTGTGCGTGTGTTTGTAAGCATGCATGTATGTATGTGACTGTCAAAAGGTGACGAGAGACAGACAAAAGATGAAGCATCAAAATAGTGATATTTCCAATGCAACTAAATTTTAACAAAAATGTCAGAATATTAATATAGTATTAGTCCAAATAGTCCAAATATGTTCTATTATCAAAGACACCGGCTACCTCCCATTTAAAGCTTTAAAATGACCAAGGGAAACAGTGCTTCGTTTTTTTTTTTCAAAAAAAAAAATGTGTTGCAAAAAAGAAATTTAATAGCTATAAAATAAAAATACAAATCAGTGTTTGTTGTTGATTATTAAAGACCAATTCAAAAAAAACAAATTTAAATATTGTTTCATATTTATGCTAATTTGTTTCAAAAAGCTATCAGATTCTATTTTAAGCAAAAGGGGGTCGTCCATAAATGACGTCACACTCGTAGGGGGGAGGAGGGGTCCGTAATTTTGTGACAGTGTGTGATGAGGGGGAGGGGGTTTCAAATTGTGCGACGTCACACTTTTGCAGTATATAAAAGCAATGTTAGAAAAAGAATTTTAGACGTTATTTCGCGTTTTAGAAAACTGTTTCAATAAATTGTAATAGAGTTGATTAAAATACTCTATTTTGACCGAGTTCAGACAAGATTTTAGAAAATATGGATGTTTTAAAAAAAATTCAACTGCTATTTTGATGGGGGTTGTAGGCTGAGGTGTGACGTCATTTTAGGTGTTGGGTTTGGCTTTTTTTGACGACGTGTGACGGAGGGGAGGGTAGGTAAAAATCGTCAAAAAAGCGTGACGTCATTTATGGATGACCCCAAAGACTAAACGAGAAATTAAAGAATCAATTAGTAAACAACTGAATATTATAAATAAGAATCTTACTTTGAGTTGCAGACTTCTCTAATCACAAATTAACAATTATTTTAAATTTTCTTAAATTAAAAAAAAATCCTTTTATAATCAACCGTAAAAAAAATGTAAACCTGGGTACTTGACACTGAGTAAAACAGGGGAATAGGTCAAGTACAAATCATAATGAGAGAAATGTAAATCTGCTAAACCCAACAGAAGCAAATATGTAACGTCTTGTATTGTTAATTTTGTTTTTTATTACAACTGAGACTCTTATAATCTTAAACGATATACACACAGATACACACACTTACAGACCAAAAAATGTAACGACTTGGTGGAATGTTGCTTTCGATTTTTGCAAGATTATAATAGGGCCTAATTCCGTGTATGCTGCTTATACGACAATGTAAAAAAAAATGAATGTATTAAATCCCCCTTAACCAGTATTTCTTTCTGACATCTCTTCTGCCCCCCCCCCCCCCCCCTCCTGAACGAAAAAGAAAAAAAAACTTTGTACAGAAAATGCTTAAAGTATAATTTAAGCGCCCCCCACCCCCTCGGAAAAAAATGTCTGAAAGAAACACTGCCTTTAACTTAAGCAATATTAATAACGACCAAATATTTTATTGTGGTGTCTGCCCTTAATCCGATTTTGTTCGAATATAATTCACAGGGGGGGGGGGGGGGAATAAAGTCATTTTGTTAAAAAACGAGATCCATGTAAGCCTAATCTTGATCTTTTTTTTAATGGGGAATCGACTCAAAGTTCACTTCCCCCCCCCCCCCCCCCCCCCCTAACTTGTAGCTAGCAACGCTAAGCTTTTGGTTTTACTGTGTAGAAGGGTTGGAAGGGTTGTACGACCATGTACTGAACTGTGTAGTCTACTGCTTCCGGTTCGTTTATAAATAGGATTCTGACCTGACCCAGTTTAATAACAAAAGTGGTTGAGGACAGATAAACAATCATAAGACAAAGTCTATGAAAGACGAGTTAATTCTTTACGGCTATCCAACATTGACAAGCGGGTGGATTTTCATTATTGCAAGCTTTTTATTACAACGTTTTCAGTAGAGTATTTTAAGCTAATTATTAATCTTTAATATAAAACTATCGCTCCAGCAGCTAGAATCTAGATCTAGATCTAGATCTAGATCGAGAGTTCTCTTCTTTCTAGACCAGCAATCAGCTGTGAGGTTGACGTGTGTAGAAGTCAGTGGACACTACTGGACACACTGTAACTTTGTACACAGTACAGTCGTGGACACTAGATCTAGATATAAACATAGGTACAGTCGTGTAGTCTGTAGATTTTTGTAGATCACACTGCAATTAACACAACATCATTGACAACGACATTCGTTCAACGTTTTAAATAAAAAGTTGATGTTGCTGCCAGTTGCTGTGCACCACGTTGACAAAGTGTCGAGGGCCGAGGGTATTTGAAGTATTTTTATTTTACTGTTACTTTAAGTCTAAGAGACTGTCAGTTGTAATGTCGTTTTATAACAAAACGTTAATTTTACTATTAGTGTAACAAGTTCCAGTGACTAGAAGTTGTTAGTAGAACTACACAGTCCAATCATATTTAAATTTAGTTAAGTTAGTTACTAGTTAGACTTAGAGTATAGAATCTATACTAGATCTAGATATTAGTTACGATTAATATGATCTACACTTAGGCCTAACACTAACAGAAGTATATAATTTATTTAAAATGTGAAAATTCTAGATCTGGATACTACAATCTAGATATAACAATAGAATGGACTTAAAGATTCTTAGATTAGGCACAACTGTTTGGTAACTTATTTTAATTAGACCCATTGTTTCTTCCAGGCATCATTTGCTGCCCCCCCCCCCCCCCTGAACGAAATGGAAAGTATATATACTATACTTTTAACAGTGTCCGCCTCTTTCCACCCCCACCCCCCCCCCGAGAAAAAAGTCTGGAAGAAACACTGATTAGACCTGGACTCTAGGCCTTATTTTTTTGGCCTTACTTTAGCCTTTATATAATAGTATTATATTATACTATAGTCTCAGCTTAGAGTTAAATAACTTTAGTTTCAACTATAGGCCTATAAGTTGGCCTATAAATTTAAAAGCACTAAAATAGGTGAGGATAACTTAATGTTATGATATTAAGTACCTAACTATCCACTTTTTTATTTTTCATGAATAGATTGATGGATAAAATTTAAACAGCTGACAACAATGTCTGTGGTGCAGTTTGTTTGGCTACTTCTTGTTTTTGTTCTGGCAATACACATGAGCAGGTATGTTAGATTTTTCTCATGTGTCAAATTTATAAAAGAATATTAAATTCATGCATTCAAATGTGTGTCTAATAGAGCTCATCTGTTTCTTTTGACCTCTGCATATGAAGGGTTAGTGTGGTCAGCACTATGCCCTTTAATCAAAATTTTAAACTCTCTAATCTTTACCACTATCTCTTGGTTAAGTATCTATAAGTAAACCTGTACTTTTTAAAATTGATTTATTTTTCTAATGTAGGATTAATTAAACACTAACTCTTTGGTGAAAGTTGTGAACTGGTGTTAGTTCAATTCTTTTATGATGTATAAAGTTGAAAGAATTTGGCTTGATAACTCCTCAGGGCCAGATGGTGCACCCGTCTGAAGATTGAAAAACATCTAGAGACATTTACAGAGATAACACAGTGTACGCAGCCTTACCAGGCAAAGTGTGGTTGGTTTACTAATGGCATGTGCACATATTACGAGTGAGAACAATTTTTTTTTCTAAAACTACATTACATTTTTTTAAATTTCCACTGCCAATTGTAAATTTCCTAAACTAAATTTCCATTATATTTTTAAAATCTGTTAAACAGAAGTAAAGAAAGTTTTTTACATTTTCATTTTTAGGACTTATGAATGTGCACTGGAGCGTAATCGAACTATAGATAAAATTCGAGTTATAGAAGAGTGCTGCAATGGATACGAGATTGACCCAAGCAACAATTACTCATGTATCAGAATTCCTGGTTAGTATTTCTAACTATTTAACCAGCATGTTTTTTCCATAAATAATTTTTTCCAATATATTCAAAGTGCCACAACTCTGATGTCGTTTACCATTGGCTTGTAGGATGTATTTCATTTTATTTTACCAAATGCTATTTACGAATACCAGTAATAGTTAATTGTCAAAAATTTAACTGCAGATGAAATCAGTGCAGTAAAGCAGTTATAAGTGGGCACAAAAAATAGGTTAAAGCTAACCTTAAATATCCTATTATAGCGAATCAGCTGCAGGTTTTAATTTTTTGTAATCAATTAAACTGATGTTGGTTCTTCTTAAGATGACAATGATGCAGTTACAGATTATAGGTTTTACAACCCTAATATTCTTTATATGTAATCCTATCAGATCCCAATTTTTTATGTATACAAATTACACATCAGAGTAATCTACAGTTCATTGAAAAAAAAACACCACAGAATGTTTTATAAGGATTTTTCATCAATGTTTAAAGATAGGACTTTTTTGCATTAACAGCAAGATATATATATTATAAATCATTATGTTATATTATTATATTGTATATTCATTGATTTTGAAATAAATTTTGTGTTTTTATTTAACGTAACTATTTTCAGAACATACCATGAAGCTTTACGATACATATGAGAGCACTCTGTTTGGCCTGTCTCATGGAGCCTACGCTGGTATCATCTGCACAGCCCTATTTGTTTTCTGTGTTGCCATTTTGGTTGCCATACGTTTGCATAAAAGGTAAGACTGTTTTAATTGTAAATGGCTGATTGTTAGCTTTTTATTGACCCTTTTAATATGTGTAAATAAATGCATGAGGTACAGTGTTTATTTTTATATTTCTTCCAGACAAAGAAATGCAAAATTGCGAGTTATAAATCAGCCAGCTGAGAATGGCGTAACAGAAAAGATGATGTCTGCTGTATAAAGCAAGGTTTAGTTTCTCAAAGTAATTAATCTTAACCCTTTCAGGACTAGGAGTTTAACTCTTTTAGGACCATGAGTTTTGTTTCTTGGATTAAATACAAGCTTCAGCACATTCATTGTTAAGGATGTAAAGACTTATAGACTAGTGTTCATAAAAGTGAGAATTTCTTTTATTAACACTCAAAAGCAAGTGGTCCTAGTAAACAGCCAGTAACAATAATACATGATGAAATGATCATACAGAACTGATTGTGAATCTGTGTGGTATGATGCAACCTGTTGTTTTAATGGTTTTAAAATTTCTGTGTCCGTTGTCATGGACATATGGAAAGTGAGCTTTACATTTTCATTACAATGTTACTTGTGATTTAAAAAGATCATCATACAAAATCAGTATTTATTGAGCAGTTGTCTTTTTTTTTTTTTTTCTTCAGCATTGTCTTATTTTGTTTCACTATCAGGTACTCGGCTGTGACAAAAAATTGTTGTGATCCTGGTTTTTCATTTTCAGTTACTCTTTAAGCACATCAAATATGGTATTCATATACATCTTTAATTGAAAAAAAAAATCTTTTTAAACAACTTTCTCACATCAGTGAACTGTATTTTGTCTTTTAGATTTGTAAATTTATTTCCCTTTACAATAATTACTGTTGTAACATATTTCATCTAGTAAATTCATACTCACAATGCAATATTTATTATAATGAAATGTTATAGTTATACCTTCTGTTGGATGTAGTTTATTGTTAATCTTTTTTTTTACTTTCACTAGGTAAGGGACGTAATTCTAAATTTTATATGCATAGACTAATTAAAAGCACTAGGAAATGTATAGTACTTTTCATTCATTTATGGACCAAATTAAAATTAACTTCAAGGAACATAAATAAATATTTTTAAAAGTTGGCTTAATTTATAATGGATAATAGGGTAACTTGTACATTATTTTGTCATGGATGCTCAATGTCATTGAGATTTACTTTACAGTCAATGCAATGTCATTTTTTACTGTTATTTAGGTATTGCAAAGAACAACTGTTTTTATACATGCTGTTAATTATTGTGTCTGCATGTAATGATTGTGTATGCGGTTAATGATTGTGTTTTCAAGTGGTTGCCATGGTAAAATTTTATGAACAAAATGTTTACATGTTTGTGTGCTTCCATTTAATGGTGTTCAAAAACTTTGCTGTGGGGTTAATAAATATACATTTAATTTTTTAATTTTACTAAAAAAAACACCAGGCACTGGTTTGAGTTCTGCTTTAAGCAGTATATATTTGGTTATTTTTACTAGTGTTCACAATTTTGGCACTAAATGTTCTTAGCTTCACTACACATATTTGCCAATTATGTTTAAAAATTTCTTTCTTTTTGTCTAGGCAAGTTTATGTTAAACATTTTAGACCTAATTTGGGTTGTCTTTTATAATAAAGTATAAAAAGATTGGGACAGCAGTTTTTTAAGAAACAAATCAGCAAAGACGGGGCCTATTTATTAACTCAAAAAAAGTCTACAAAATTGTGTGTTGTATTTATTTTTCTGCATTTAAAAAACTTTTTCAAATGTATTGTTGGACTCTGGGTTTTTATTGACTTGTCTAGTCAGTTTGATGATTGCATTTAACATGGAAGTAACTGGAGCCTAAATAGAACAGTTCTTGTTCTGTAAAAGGCTGTGTTTATTAATGTAGTACAAATGGTCATTTCAGCATTTATGTAGTGTTTTTATATAAGAACACTAATGTGTAAAAATAGGGACAGCAAAAGTTTTGAGTTCAGATCACCGGCTCAAGAAAGTAGGACATTCCTGAGTCCACACAGCTCTTAATGGTACATGACTCACTTAGAAAAATAAAGGCGGCTGGGTATATTGGTGAACACACTAACTCCTTGTGTGTAAAGGTCATTGAAAAAGATTAACTCTACTTCATCTGCCTCATGTGTATTTGGCACCTACAAGAAAAGATGAATGTGCAAAATGTAGATTTGAACTTTACCAGCTATAAAAAATAAAATTATCCGGGTCATTTTTATTTTTTTCAGCTAAAAATGTATAATTCCTGTTTAACACTTTTAGCTGACACAGGTAATGCTGTTGGATGAGTGGTATCCTAAAAATAAATTCATCAGCTAATCAGGTACTAAGGATTAAATACATCTAACTATTGAAAAGCTAAAGGTTCTTTTATTAAACTGCAATGTGGGCAAAATTCAAAATGCAGAAAAAAATTTGGATAAAATATTTTAATGGCAAAGTTAATAACATGACAAGCAAAATAATTTAATTATTTATTTATATATATACATGAGCGAGAGTCATAAGAAACAGTTTCTCCCTTAAGTAAACAGTTCCATGTCATCTGGACACAACAGGTAAAAAATACTGAAGTGACACATCATCATGCATCAGGAAAAAATGGATCATTCGATGGTGGACAACATCTGTAAAATTGTGAAAAAATTCTTCTTAAAAAACAAACTTAATTTGTTTTCCTTATTATGTTCCACCAGCATGGGGCACTTTCCAATCAGTAAAATGAAACTTTCTTAACTAATTAAAACAATAGAAATAAAGAGCTTTATGATAAAACAACAGAAATAAAGAGCTTTATGATAAAACAACAGAAATAAAGAGCTTTATGTTAAAACAACAGAAATAAAGAGCTTTATGATAAAACAACAGAAATAAAGAGCTTTATGATAACTTACTGCAGACAACTCGACTAGGATTGACTTGCTGGCTGTTAAGGAACATAGCAAACTTTCGTATGTCAACTCTAGCAGTAAAGAATTCATTTGAGTTCTGATCAGAAGACTGTGACAACTGTTGGCTGCCTCCTTCCCTAGCTTCAATATATAGAAATATTTTTAGTACAGCTTTAAGATTTTCAAATTTAGTACATTTTTAATTTCTGAATAAAATATATGATTATTATAAGGCATATCTCCCAATATCAAACAACCCAAATATTACAACAACTCAAGTCTAACCCTGAGGCTGTAAACATATTTGGGTGATTTTACTATGCTAATGGAAAATTTTGCTTTGTGTTTAATATTACTAATAATAGCAGCTCAAATTAATCAAGGTACATAGTCAGGTCGTTAAAGCTCATGGTTGCTAAACCGAAAAGTCCCGAGTACAAACCCCTGGGCAGGTGAGACCCAATAGCTGGGGAAAGCAATCATCTAGGATAGAAAACTCCAAAATCAAACTGCATTATTTTAATCTTGTATGATTAAGATTCCATAAAGCACTGAAAACTAAAGGGATACCTACAAAATAGCATGTTGTTTATAGGCACTAACAGATATTCACACAATTTAAACATTTTAAAAACTTTATTTTAATCAGATACTGAGAATTGTTATGCCCCCACTTTTGGAAGTCAATATTTAATCAGTAGAGGCTAAATTTCTTTGCAATAGCTTTGCATACTTACTCCAGGTTGGGTTGTGCAAGTTCTGAAAGTGCGTGCTCACAGAAACCATTTCTGTTTCAACTGACAACTTCATTTCGCCATTGTTATTGGCTGAAAGAGACTGCAGAAAAATGGCCTATAGTCACACACACACGATCAATAAAAAATTTCTTGTTTAGCTTACTTATTTTAACTAACACTTAATGCTAATATCAAAGAAATTTTGCTTACCAGATAATTGTTGAGATTCTTCATTTTGTCAACCACATTTTTTAACACTTTCAGCTGAGGCATTGCAATACTAACCTGCAAAAAGAATAACACATTTTACAACATGTGTCTTCAATAAAACACTATAGAGTTATATTTAGAATTGAAGATCATTATTAGACATAACTGCTATTCTAAAACACACAAAAGCTGATGGAGAAGTACACAAATATTTAAATTATTTAAAAAGTTCCATTTCAAATCCTGATGGTCCGTGAGGCAAGTAAAATAAAGTTCACTTGTTTCTGTGACTTCGGCTTATGGAGGGATAGTGTGGTCAGCACTATGCCCAGCCGCCATTACTTTCAGAGCTGGGTGGACTCAGGGACGTTTTACTGACTTAAATAAGAATTCAAACCCATGACTTTCGGGTTAGCAGTCTAGCGCTTTTTAAAATTATAATCGTAACTAACTTGTAAAGCACTGAGTACTCAAACCTACATCAAATTTTGGCATCTCAGGTTCTGTAAAATCTGGCCAATGCTTTCTGGCCACAACAGTGACAGGCACATCATGCACAACTAATCTTTGATTGGAGCTGCCACTTGGCTAAATTTTTAAATTATACAATCATTATATTACAGCTGTCATAATACTTCAAATGTAATAAAAATCAAAATTTGATTCGGATCCACTAAACAAATTAACTTTTTTTAACCAATGAATCCAAAAAAAAATTCAAATAAGAAATATAAAAAAAGAAGATATAACCAAGCCTAATCATCAAATGAGATAGTGAATGTACTGTTTAAAAATCTGATGGTTTAGTAATTTAAAAACAAGTACCAAATCAATCTCCATGGTTAAACAAGGGACATGCTTCTTTGTAAGTTTGATCTTGATCCACTTGGCAGAATGTGCAGTCTTCAGAGATCTCAACATCAGGTCAGGGGAGACTTCAAGGTAAATTTCATTTGCGTCTTGGGACACACCTTCCATTGCAAACTCATCAAAGAAGTGACTCTGAAGAAAATTTGAATATCAATAGGTCCAAAACAATATATCTCTGCAATCATCACCAAACAGTATACAAGCAAAGTGAAAAAAATTTTTTTAATCATATCATGTTTAAATATAAATACATTACAAATCATTTAAACCCTAAGAAAAGTTATGTGGTATAATATGAATTTAAAAGCTAGCTGAGAATTACCATAAAAAGTATTTACATCAACGATCAATGAAAACTATCCAAAAAAATGGATAGCTTTTCTGTGCAGATTCACATATAACTTTCATTGTATGAGCTCAATTACTTTTTACCATGTTATATTATAGGCCTACAGCAAATATCATGACCTACCTGTGGGAGTTCACACCATATTTGAGCCCCGCCTTCACCTATACGCTCTGACAATATGAAAAAAACTTTGTCCTCTGTGATACGCAGAATGCATGTTTTCACTAGTTTTGAGATGGTCCCCACTATATCTGAGGAGAAAAGAATGACATAAAAAGATTAGGCTTAATTTTTAAGTAATAAACAAATTAATTTACAATTTATAAAAATATTAATCTCAATTTCTTTTCAAACTGTTTTTAAAGACTTTAAAGCTTGTGATGTTGGTAGAGTTCATCTGTTCCTGTGCATATAAAGGGATAGTTCTGTCAGATCTAGATCTATGCCAGGCTGTCTCCACTTTCCTTAAGTGAGTCAGGTACTGTTAAGAGTTGGATGGACTTGTCACCAGGTACTAGATCTATTAAGAGATGGGTGGACTTGTTGACATCCTATGGACTCTAGCCCAGAATCCAAACTCAAGACCTTTGTGTTATTAGCTGTGCACTCTCCTACCCAACCACACCTTATTAGCACTTAGAGGCCCAGTATAATTATTGAAAGCTACACAATACATACAACTAGGTTAGGAACTTATAATTACTAATTTGGTTATTGATTTTTTTTTGTGGCCTTGATTTATGTAAAACATAAAAGGTCTATCTATTTATTCTATGGCATGTCTCTTGTCCTGATCAGTGAGGTAGCGAGGTCGGGTGTCACCCGGTGCAGCACTTAATGGTGTCACCCCCCAGAGGCATAGCGACCCTTCCCGGGGACAAACTTTCAAATTTTCTATTTGCACCCCCCCCCCCTCAAGTTTTTCTCTATATATTTTGCTATTTTTTGCCTTGGTGTCACCCCCCTAAATGGTGTCACCCGGTGCGGTCCGCACCCCCGCCCCCCTCGCTACGCCTCTGGTCCTGATTACAATAATTACATACAAGTCTAAGTAATAAAAATAAAAGTCATGTCCATGATTGTTTTTTGTATTTAACAGTACATTTTATCTAAATCTGGTAAAAATGGCAACACTACCAACCAGTTTTCAAATTTATGAGTTAGGTGGCCTATTTTATATAGATTCTATTTAGGCTAATCAATTTGATTGTGTTGTGTGTGTTGTAGATCTAGATCTATGTGTTTGTCACAAACAACAAAATCTAACTTTTGTGGTAGTTTAGCTGTATTATGGTGGGAGAGACATTGGCTTCACCAAGAGTGGACTGGCCTGATTCTAGAGTTAGAGTCCAATTTTAATTATTTTATTTAATTATTAGTAGTAAGCCTAGTAATTAGTAAATATTAAAGTAAAATCTCTTTCTCTAGATCTAGAAGTAAATGCCCTTTGCTTATATATTACCTAGGCTATATAATTTAATTATATTTATTAGTAATAGGCCTAGTCTTAGTAGTATTACTAATACTGTATTTATGTTATTAGTAATTGAACTGATAGTTGAGAATGACACTAGCTAGTTGACAGTAAAGTCAGTTTTTACAGTATTGTTACTTTTAATTTAAAATATTTTATAGGTCTAATTCTATTCCTATTAATATGTTAAAAATATTTAGATCTAGACTCTAGGCCCTAAGCCCTAATGATGGCCCTAATCAAATCATCATCATGAGAAGAAGACATGAGAATTCAATCATGAGATTATTATTGAATTGAATTGAGATGTGATATTTCACGATTTGTTGTTAGTTGTTACTAATGTCAATTTTATCAACGTCAAATATTGATATTTGAACTAATAATAGTATAAGTCATAAGTTATTGATATTTGTCAATTTAGGTTGTCTTATTACAATTTTTTAATTAAAATTTTCTGTCACTTATCATATATCATTACAAACCATATCACTTACTGGTTAATTTGAGATCAAATTTAATGGTCTAGCTTAATTAGGGGCCGAGAAAAAAAAACAAAAACAAAATGACCTATTAACATCTTAAAATGCGAAACTCTTTTTCGCCATCAAAAGATATCAAAAAGTTACGTTGGTTTGTGTTTTCCATTCGTAGCATGATGTCATAGCAATTACGACAACATTGGGTATTTTAGTTACCAAAAAAAACCAAAACATTTTGTTAGAAATAAAACTTTATAGTCATTATGTTTATTAAGGAAATATCAGACATATTTATTATAAATTCTATGTACAATGTACAATTTAAGACATTAGGCATTCCATGATGAATTGAACAATCAATACCCATGAAGATGACAATAAAATTAATATCCAAAACTAAAAATAGATCTGACAGAAATCTAGATCTAGTCCTTCTAACTGTAACGACAATACAGTATTATTAGGTAAGATGATAAATGAACTTTTTTTTAACTTTAAAATTAAATAATCTATAATTAATATTCTCTTCTGTAGTAGCATTAGGTTAGGCGAAGTTTTCTTTTTTTTTTTTTTTTTTTTAACCAGCTATGCGTAGTAAATCTACAGTCCTGTAAGCTTGCGTGAACTTAAAATGACCCTAAGTTGATTTACAATTTGCTTGGTTTATGAGGGGAGGGGTGGGATTGCCCACCGACGATCTCTACCAGCAATAGTTAATGCTGTGACGTATGTATGGTAGGCCTGCTGAACTCACGGTGAACCCTCGACCGTATCAACATTTTTCTCCCGCAGACAAGAAAATGTAAGCAGTCGATCTCGCGAGCGATGCGAGCGACGATGTTTGGAAAATTTTGAATAATTATTTTATAAAATATTATTTCGTTCAAAAAAATTTTTTTTTGAAAAAGAAAGAAAATAAATCCGCATTTCCCATGTGAAACAATAAAATAAAGCACAACTGATTTACGTCGGATTCGAACTCGGAGATTCTAGGTCACCTACCGCACCGTTCTGTTTACTCTGCCACACACCACGATATATTGGAAAATAAAATATTAGACATTTTGTATCAAAAGATTGCTAAAACTAAAAGGAAATAATTACTACTTCATTTATTGATATCATTCTACGTAGTAACTGAGTAACTGCGTAAATTTTACACACAATACCTATATTTTTAACTGACACAACAGCATTAACGAGGTTGACCAAGTCTAAAATAAAAAAAAAAGCCAGTAGGCCTAATTAGATCTAGCACAAAAAGGCTCGGAATGAGCATTGTTTAAAATACAATACTAAGGCCTAATTAAAAACTATATATTATTTCATATAAATTATACAGTCGGGTAGGCCACGAAGTATTAATATTAACAAGGTTAATGACCGGTCACGAATTATGTTAAATGAAACTAACAGTGCAGTCGGCCTACTTGGCTTGCAGTGAAGAAAAAAAATCAACATACTTATAAAATTACTAATACTTTAATACAATAATAATGCCCACAATTTCTGCACATGCTAAAACTGAATTATAATTAAAATACTAGACTTAACAGTGCATTCCGCAAAAAACAAAAATTAGTTGTTTCTATCTGACAACTAGCGTAACAATGGCGTAACGTTGCTAAAAATAGCAGCGGCATGGTATTTCTATGGGGAATTGGATTTAGGAAGAAGGGAAGCAGCATCATTGTAATTAATCATGGTAAATATCTCAAATATATAAATATCTAGGAGCTGTCGAGCGCTGATGCCCGGAGGTCGGTCGTTTTTCGTTGCAGTTCAGTTCGTAATGAGAGTGCTCCATAAGAAATGCTTGTATTAATTATTACTACATATCTCGCAAATGTTTCTGGCATTTAAGCCATAGTATCCATTTCCTTAGCATTTCGCATTAAAATAGTGATGAGATATTGCTAGATTAGCAGTTTTTTCGTTTTTTGTATATAGGACCCCCCAAAAACACTTAAAATGCGAAAACTAAAAGAGCATGACGTTTCAGGGTCAGGTTCTGACTTCCGGTTTTGGTAAGGAGATCGACTAGTCAATATTAATTAATTATTGGGTAAAATCACGATATAGCGTCGGTTATTATTCCGGAACTGTACAGCAGTAAAAAAACAGTACAACCAAGGCGTAGTCTGTCGAGCCGTTCCGGAAACCACCGGAAATACTGTAAACCATCATTTATTTGCCGCCATATTATTTTTAGTACATAATGTTTAAAAATGTGCAAGGATTATTTTAGTTGCATTTTAAATACTGTTTTGCTAATTATTTTGTATTTCTAATTATTTTAAGTATATGTGCTAATTATTGCTGCTACTAAACATTATTCTATTTATTCTTACTACTTTTAACTTTAGTTAATCTAGCCTAATCGTCTTATTTACTAACAGAACTAGATTCTAGAGCTGGTTGTCGCAAATCTTCTGCAGGTTTTTTCTGTTTCCTAAAAAAAAAACATTAATTACTACACTTGACTTTATTAATAATATTTAGATTTACTAATTGTTGCTAATTTTTTGTCAGTTAAACATTAAATTAAGTTAAAACATTAATTTAATGCACTTGACTTTATTTTTCTTTCAACGGTCAAATAAAGTATGGTTTACAGTAACGAATGTTACCGAAACTCAACGAACATTACCCAATAATTTCCGACGCTATATCGTGATTTTACCAATTATTGTTATTACTATTACTGTATTAGGCCTAATGAATGACTAATGTTATGAATTGTTATGTGACAGTCACAGTAGTCACGTAGTGAGTAGTGAAGTGGCTAGAACTGGCCTACTTGTAAAATGATGAATGCAGCCAATATCAACGATTTTGCCCCTAAATTTCATAACTGAAAAACTTTAATAGACACGCTAGATCTAATCTATGTCTATTCTAGAATAGAAAATATAGATCTAGATCTTGAGTCTTGAGTCACTAATAAATGATACATTCACTGGATTCTGTAACAATACTTTCCCGCCATATTGGTTGTGCCAGCTGAGAAGCGAGAGGGTCAAGGACGTTTGTTGAAATAGCAAACTTTACGAATGGCACAACTTTATTTTACACTGGCGGCCTACATTTTATTAAAGTTGATTTAATTTCAAGTGGGATGTTAGACCTATAAACGGTAAAATAAAATTAAAATTTAGCGTGAAAAACAAAAGTCTGAAATAATATAAAATAACAAAAGCAACGAAACTGTTTTAATTTGGCTTTTATTTTTTTTTACCAGATCTACAACTACGCCGAGGGCTATCTCACACACTAGCGGCTAGCCCAAAACATAAGCAACACAGTAGTGGCTCAGACGAGGAAGTAGAATCTTATTATATTATTTATAGAATCTAGATCTAAAGTCTATGTTTTATTTTTACTTTGAATCGCATGCTGGCCAATGTGGGTTAAAAAAAACAAAACTAATGTAACTTGTGATTCAAACTGTTCGCGGTGTTTGTTCTATGATACAGCTGGCCAATTTGTTTGGCTCTGTGCCACTGAAGTGTGACAGACATTGTTTGATTTACTACTCGGAGTGGGCCGTACTCAGAAAATCTGTAAGTAAAAATCTAGTTGTTAAATTTGTTTCTTGTTAAAAAATATTCTAAGTAAATGTGCCTAAAGAGTTTTATTACGATTTAGACCCAAGTTAAATTGAACTGATTAAATTAAAATCGCAAAGAATCGCTAGGACCAAGACACATTCCCTAGCTTCAACCACCGGTTTGTTAGTTGGGTCAAGTGACCAATTCTTGTCAGTAGTTTAATCTGTTTACTTGACTTAGCACCTAGCCTTAGGTTTTCTGTCTGTCTTTTAATGCCCGTCCTCTGTCTTTTAATGCCAGTCCGAGTCATAGTGTTTGTTTTAAAATGTAGAATCTATATTCGTTTAACTTGAATTTGCCAAGTGCAACAGTTGTTTGTGTTTATGTCGGGATATCGGGGATGTTAAAGCAGTGTTTATTATATATTAGGAATCTCTTGGGGGGGGGGGGGGGGGGGGCGAAGCTCGTCTAACCCCCCCCCCCTCCCCGGAACGAATTAGAATTAATAAAGAAAATAATATCCTTTTATCAGTGACCGCCCCCCCCCCCCCTCCCTCGGAGAAAAAAATCTATATTAAGGAGTCAGTGATCATAGATATTATCAAAGGACTAAGTAGACTACGTTTAGATCTATAAGCTACTGTATCTAGTCTTGACTTTAAAAATATGCATACATTGACTCTTAATACGCAAGTACTTAACTATCGTCCGCCGACCGCTCCAGAAATTTAAGTGCGCCCTCCCCCCCCCTCCCTAGAGTTTCTTCCAGGCATCTCTTTGGGGGAAAGTCTACCGCCCCCCCCCCCCCCCCCCTCCAACGAAATGGAATTTATATAGATAAAATATACTTTTAACAGTGTCCGCCCCCCCCCCCCCCCCCAAAAAAAAATTTCAAGTGCAACTCCGGAGAAAAAAAGTCACCCGGAAAAAGGTATAAAAGAAACACCGCCTAGCTGAACATCTGGATTCTAAAAAGCTGCAGTGTTTTGTTTGTTTTTTGTTTTTCCAATTCTCTGTTGTTGTTTGTTTGTTTTCACATTTCACAACTTCTAGTTAGCTTTCTTCGTGTGTTTCAATCCTACTTCTACGTTCTAGGTCTATTTGTGCCCAACACAATCACAAGCCATCCTTGCTGTTAAAAATCAACGATATGTATGTAGTATAGGGCCTACTTCTTAAGCTTGTTGACCTTTGATTAGAACGTAGGCCCTATATATATTTTAACGTATGTAGTCCGACTCACTACACCTATGAAAGTCTGACTGTAACATATATCCAAACTAGATGAAAATCAACCGTAAACCCCCATTATTTATACCCGCTGTGCCTTACTTGTCATACTCTTTCTCAGCCCCCCGCGTAATTAGCCTTGATAGCGCGCTGGCCTGACAAGTCACGCAACTCTACATGTCGGACTTTCGGGGCCCAACTTTCCCCTGAGATAGGTTATCGTTCGGTGTGTAGACCTTGACGCGCGCGGCGAATAACGTTACACATCTGCCAGCCCGGTGACAATGTGAACCATTCAGTTTTACTTGTCATTTCACGATACCCCGGGCGTTTCGTTTTAGAGGCTTTTTTTTTTTTTTACTGCCGGTGGTAAATTAAAACAGTGGTTGTTCAGTGTAGACACCGTAAAGATGTGTAGGGCCTAAGCGTACGTGGTAGAAAATATTTTGCAGCTGGTCAGGAAATAACGATGTCAACATCAGTAAGATTAAAAATAACATCAGAACTTTGCGGCAAGGTGTACCGTGTTGGGGTTGGGTTGAAATCGACTTCGTGGTTATAGATGTTCAGAGTTTCTTCCAGGCATCTCTTCGGGGGGGCTTCGCCCCCCCCCCCCCGATAATTTTTTACCGCCCCCCCCCCCCCCCCGAACGAAATGAAAATTATATAATTTATATAGAAAATATATACTTTTAACAGTGTCCGCCCCCCCCCCCCCCCGAAGAAAGTTTACCGCCCCCCCCCCCCCGAAAATTTCAAGTGCCCCCCCGGAGAAAAAAGTCTGGAAGAAACACTGTAGATGTTTACTGTGTTGCTAGCAGTATAAATTTAATTTAGGGTAAGATAAACATGAAATACATAAGGATAAGGGGGAGGGGGGTCGGACTTGAGTGACAATGTGGGATCGAACGATACACTTTTGCAATTTAATTTTTTTTAAAGTTATGTTACAAACTGAATTTTAGCCATTATTTCACTGTTTTAAAAAAGTTTTTGTGAATTGTAATAGAAATGGATTTATAAGCTCCGTTTTGAGCTGGCTTGGTAGATTCTATGCCACATGGCCCATAAGGTTCGAAAGATTATTTTACTTTTCTTCCTACTGTTTGAACTACTGTGTTTGTCCGCAATAATCACGTGACAATCACCGAAGAGCTGCCCACCCGTGTTACAGCCAATCTCCCATTATCTAACCACTTGAACGATCGTGTGTTGGGAACTCGATCACCACATTTGATGAACTAACACTGATGTCAAAACGAAAGCAAAACAACGTTATACATTTAAATATTGTATTTCCACCCCCCCCCCACCCCTTGTTTTCAATTTCCCCGGAGTAAACGACATTGTAAAAACCACCATTTCCATATCTGACTCTCCGACAATATTTCATAAGGTTGATGTTGTTTATTTTTACTTTCTCGTATACGGAATATAGATGAAGTATTGTAATCGTGCCGTAAATCGTAATCAAGCTTTTAACACAACTCGACGTTTACACCTTCTTGAGCTGGAGAGGCTTGCAATCTTGTCTGTCTGTCTGTGTGTGTATACGTGAACACGATAACTTGAGAACAGTTTCAGTTAGGTTGACGAAATTTCATATATAAGCAATTGGCTTATATTTAATTTTTAGTTTTATATCAACGTTGGAGCGAATTTCAATCACAGGAGTGGTATTTGCTTTTATTTCCGGTTTCTAAAAAACCTTCATTTTATGTCATAATCATAAGGTCATAAAGCATATCATACAAAATTTCGCCACTATTTTTTCTCGAAAAAATAGCAGTTTTGTCACAAGCTTATATATTTATATCCGATTGCACTTGAAGTGTCATCCCAACTCTTAATGTTAAATAAGAATATACATGAAAGCTTAGGGGGTAATCCATAAATGACGTCACGCTTTTTTTTGACGATTCTTACCTCTCCCCTCCCCTCCGTCACACATCGTCACAAAAAGCCAGCCCCCCCCCCCCTAAAATGACGTCAAACCCCAGTCTACAACCCCCCCCCCCCCCCCTCAAAATTGCAGTTGAATTTCTCTTAAAACATGGATATTTTTCCAAAATCCTGTCTCCACTCTGTCAAAATAGAGAATTTTAATCAATTCATATTTAAAAAGTGTTCTAAAACGCGAAATAACGTCTAAAATACGTTTTCTAACATTGCTTTTTTATAATGCAAAAGTGTGACGTCGCACGATCTGTTTCCCCCCCCCCCCCCCCTCCCCTCATCTCACACCGTCGTCACAAAATTACAGACCCACTCCCCCCTACGAGTGTGACGTCATTTATGGACGACCCCTTAGGATAGCGCACGCATTATTTACTTTTGCTACCCCATGTGGGTACTTCTCCGACATGATTGTAGTAAATGGAGGTGTGGGTCTTGGTACAGGTTGGTCAGTCCTTACCCTAAACAGAGAGACCCATAAGCTCTTTATGTTTCTGTACTGTCTTGCAAACTTTGAAGTACCTGTTGATGTTGGGTTTTTTTTCTAGTCGCGTGTGCTATACAAAAAGAGTTGAATGAACTCTGATATTGTGTGTGATTTACAGCGCTTACGTCATTTGTTTTGTTTCATGGCCATGCGCCACAAGATTGATGAGACGGCAAATAGCAACAAGTTTTACCCCGTGAGTCAGTACACGATCACATAGCTCTCTGACTTGCAGCTCACCAAGTTACACACACACAGCATGGTATACACTGTGTCAGCCAGTTGATGTTTCTACACGCGTGTTTGTTTTCATCATTTGTGGCTTGATGGTCTGGGCCATTTAAGTCATATTTTTATTATATTTGTACTACCTGTATCCATATATCAACTTGTTAGTAATGTTTCAGCTTTTATTTTCACTTAGCTGTTATATTGGCTCTTCGATCATGAGGGTGGGTAATCGAATTGTTAGATACCGTAAGTCCACTCGCGGCTTAAGTTACGTAACCAGCACACGTTTAGTAAACATGTGACGTATCGAGCACACGTTTAGTAAATATGTGTCGTCACGAACATACGTTTAGTTAGCAAGTGACGTAACAAGCACAAGCTTAGTAAAGAAGTGACGTAGACAGCACACGTTTAGTAAACAAGTGACGTA